TTTTTTTAAGATTGTTTTGGCAAGTTGATGTCCCTTGAATTTCCTCATGAATTTTTAGAATCAGCTTGTCAATTTCTGAAAAAAAGCCAGCTGGAGATTTTGATACGGGTTGCTTTGTACCTGTACGTCAATCAGGGGGTACTGAAATATTGACATCTTAACAATATTAAGTCTTCCAGTCCATGAATGTGTCTTTCCATTTATTTAGGTCTTCTTTAATTTCTTTCAATAGCATTTTATACTTTTCCGTGTATAAATCTTATACCGCTTTTGTTAAATTTATTGCTAAGTAGTTTATTCTTTTAGTGGAATTGTTTTCTTAACTTCGTTTTTAGATTGTTCACTGCTAGAGAATAAAAATACAATTGACTTTTTATTATTGATTGTATACCGCAAACTTGCTGAATTGTTTTATTAGCACTAATAATTTTTTGTGAATTTCTAAGGATTTTCTATATTCAAGATCATGTCATCTGCAAATGGAGATAGCTTACTTTTTTCTTTCCAATCTGGATTTTTTTTATTTGTTTTTCTTCCCTAACTGTCAGAAACCTCCTGTAAATGTTGAGCAGAAGCATTGAGAGCAGACATCCTTGTCGGCGCCCGGCCGATCATGTGATTTTTGTAGACAATATTTTAAGTAGAAGAAAATACTAATTTTTAAGTAGTTTAGTGTACTATTTCTGTGTCTAAGCATCATAAAAAAAAGGCAAGAGATAATTCCCTTTTAGCAAAATGCTGTGTAGGCAACCATTGTTGGTAACAGAAATACTATTTAATGGCTGACAATTACTTGCCCAGAAATATGAAACAAAATTTATTCAGTGTATTATTTTTAAGATGGCACCTGGCCTTCAGTAATCAGAAATAAAGGTTTCTCCCATAAATAAAAACCCCTGGGCCAGGTGCTGTGGCTCACACCTATAATCCTAGCACTCTGGGAGGCCGAGGTGGGAGGAGTGCTCAAGAGTTCAAAACCAGCCTGAGCAAGAGTGAGACCCGGTCTCTACCAAAAAGAAAAAAATCAGATGGGCATTGGAGCGTACACCTGTAGTCCCAGCTACTTGGAAGGCTGAGGCAGGAGGATCACTTGATCATTGGGGGTTGCAGTGAGCTACAATAACGCCACTGCACTCTGTTGAGACTCTGTCTCAACAACAACAGAACAAAACAAAACAAAAAAATCCCTGCAGGGCATTCAGTGGTTAGTGTAAGTCAATTTTTCCCCCAGGTGTGGCACCGTATTATTAAAAGCATTAATAATTAAGATTTATGCTGAAGTTGATTTATAAGTTAAACAATGTACAAATCTCCTTTTAAAAGAATGTTTTGTGGCCATGGTTACTTCAAGACGTAGTTACATTCAAATAATCTACCATTGCATGCTTTAGCAATTACAGAAGTGTGATTTTGACACGGGGCAATTTTATGAGGTAGGCAAATGTAAAATGCTAAATGATGGGAACAACTGTTCCTCTGTTTAAATTTAGAGCACTGCAAAATTTAGCTAATATTTCTCAGTTAATATACTCGGCTTACAATATAGCACTTTAAATCCTAAAGACTTTTGGAAATACAAATCCAAAGACGGTAATACATTTTCCAAATTATACAACTTTGGCAAATCAATACAGTACTTTGTAATACAGTAAAATTATATTTTTGTTGGAGCAATATATTACTTTAATGATCATTTCCACTGCAAAAATACCGTTGAAGTATTAAATCAAATTACTAAGGCTTTTCATGAGAGCTTATAGCAGAGCCAGCTGCTTTATACAAATCAATATGACTTTTAAAATTATACAATTTCCTTCTTTTAGAGTGCATTCCTTCTTCCAGGCTGCTGAGTTAACACAGCAGAGACATCCTGTGCACATAAGATGTGCTCTGTGTCCTTCTGGGGTTGATCCAAAACAGCTCACGGAAAAACTTTAAAAGTGCTCAGCTTTCACAGCACATATACTAAAAATTGGAACGACACAGAGATGATTAGCATGGCCCCTGCACAAAGATGACATGCAAATTCATGAAGTGTTCCATATTTTACTGATTATTATGCCCTCTTTGGACTATATGTCATGGATGTGAATTTTGCATAGGAACTGGTGACATGTAGCTCTGGGCTACACCGGGCATGACACTTGCTTTGCATGCTCAGTGCGTTGTGAAAGTTTGGAAAGTCAGACCTTTTTCTCCAAGAACAAGGCTTTGGAAGAAACATGCTGATTCTGTGAATTTTTGAAAGTCAGCACTTCAGGAGAAGACAAGAAATTTGAAGAGAAAAAGGAGAATTGGCCAGGCACGATGGCTCACACCTGTAATCCTAGCACTCTGGGAGGCCGAGGCAGGAGGATCACTTGAGCTCAGGAGGTCGAGACCAGCCTCAGCAAGAGTGAGACCCCGTCTCTACTAAAAATAATAAAAATTAGCCAGGCGTGGTGGCACACAACTGTAATCCCAGCTACCTGGGAGGCTGAGGCAGGAGGAAGGCTTGAGTCCAGAGTTGGAGGCTGCTGTGAGCAGTGATCACACCCACTGAGCTCCAGCCTGGACAACAGAGCAGGATTCTGTCTCCAAAAAAATCTTGTTTTATACGTTTTTCCCTATCCTGAAGTAATAAAGATATTCACCTAAACTTTCTCCTAATAAAGTCTTACCTTCTATATTTGTCTTTATTTAACGTTATTCAATAAAATTTTATAATTTTCTCTATTCTTGTCTTAAAATCTTTGTTAGATTTTTGCAAGATACTTCATATCTTCTCTTTCTTTGTTCTTGTTATTGCTATCTATCAGCTTAAAATTGCATTTTCTAATTAGTTGCTGGTATGCAGAAATTCAGTTGCACAGACTCAACTTCATCACACCAAGATGGCTGAGCCTTAGGTCACTCTCTCTGGCACAGGTAAGAACAAACACCAGAGCCATGTCCTCTGCAGTTCCTGAATTTTCATTTATTTATTTATTTTTGAGATGGGGTCTCACTCTTGCTCAGGCTGGTCTCACACTCCTGACCCCAAGCAATCCTCCCACCTCACCCTCCCAGAGTGCTAGGATTACAGGCCTGAGCCATGACACCCTGCCCCCTTCCAGAATTTTCAGGGCCTGTTTCCCTCTCCTACCCCCATCATCAGAGCGAAAGGGAAAATACAAACCCTCTGTGTATTCCATGGCTTCTCTGTATGCTGGGCGATAAAGTCTTTGCCAACCCCTTTTAGTGCTTCCCAATTACCCCCACTGGGAAAAGATCTTATGGCTTCCTTTCTCTGACTTCCAGAAAAAGCTTAACTGGAACTTTGCATGCAACGTTTTCCTTGGCATGCTCTGAGCTTTCAAACTATAGAACTTCCTGCCTTGTTTCACCTAAAAATGTCTACATGTCTCCATGTTTGCCTGTCCATATATGTCATGTGTCTATAATGTTTCACTGCCAAAATATGTAAAAGAGCTCTAATTAATTGGCATAAAGAAAAAGTAAGCGTACGTCAAATATTTTATTAAGAACACAAGAAATCAAATGCCTTTTAGTGAAGTGGAAGATTGGAAAATTCCACTAAAGTGGAATTCTTAGAAATTCCACTACCGGGCTTTCTTCCTTGCGATCCTTACCTGGGCCCCCTCCTCCCCTGCGACCTTTCCCCCAGCAGCTGCCCCCCACCCCATAAATCACCTGTAGCAATTAGTGTACCAGGCCATAAAGTAGCTTAGGATTCTGCCTCACTAAAGTTAACCCTGTTGTAACCGTGTCCCTCCTCCTTAAGCAGAGTCTATAAAGACTGCAGTGCTCTTTGGTGCTCAGAATTTGGGGAGAGCAAAAATCCCTCTGGGCCCGCCGGCAAAAAAGTATAAAATCTGTTTTGCCAAATCTCTGAGTGTGCATCTCTGTCTATTCTCGGTCAGCCCTGCCATAACATTAGTTCGTGTGACCTTGGTAACCTTGGATAAATAAAACTAGTTTTAAAATTGTTATTAAGTTAAAATGTTTTAAGATCATAATTAATACATCAAGGGAAGTAACTACATCTGAGATGGCCACGGATAACAGTCATGCTATAGAAAAGTTTATCTTGGCCTCTTTGGTGGCTGGCCTATAAGAGACAAGGATTTTATGCTTTGTCAAAATAATCTCTGTTGGGTTTTGACTAACTAGAAAAACTAAACTTTGAGAGTTGAGATTTACACCCACATAACTTCCTACATTTCCTTTCAAGTCTTCTAAGGACTATCACTCTTGGATAAATGAAAGGCATCGTTTTACAGTAAACCGTGATTCTATTTAAACAAATGTTTTAGTCCCGTAATGTTTAACAGGCTTTCCAAGAACAAAATTCTGGATTCGTCTTTTGACCTCAAACTAACTTTTAACAGTGCAGACACTAGAAGTCCAAGAAAAACTTACTAGGCATATTGGTGGATTAAACCATATAAGAAAGCATTGCCAAATGTGAAATGATATTTAACTTTCTTTGGGTTATATTTATATAAACATATTACAAATATCTGCCCCAAGCATGTGTGAGATTCCTAAAGTTCTAGTAGGCCTTGATATATATTACCAATAATAATCAGATATACTAAAATTGAGTGCCGCAAAAATCTCATGAATATAAATCTCATAAAATAACCTAAATCTATAATCATGACTGTTGTGAGATCTTTACCATCTACAGACAGTTACTGCATTATTTTGATTCCTCTTAAACACCAGTTTAGAACCAGATGCGGTCTAAGATTTGCTTCTTTAGAAAAATGTCATGGGGCCAGGTGGGGCAGGCCAGCCCTGCAGGTCCCCATTAAAAACATAAAATAAAAAATAAAAAACATAGAAAAATGTCATGGAAAGAACTAACATATTTTTATGACCTTTTATTTAAAACATTATTAATTCTCTTGCTTTGTTTTTCAAAGCCATTAAAATATTAAGTAAATAACAAAGTTATCTTCAGGATTTAAACTATTAAATTCTGCCTGGCTGAACCTTACTCATCCTCTCTAGGCCTAAGGCTTATCACAAAAGGGACAGGTCTATGAGTTTGTAAGGGCGGATTTTGAGCAATGGAATTAATAAATTTGAATCAGTTCCCTTGGGGTCTTATTCCCGCCCCCACCTGGTGCCTATCTGCCAACAATAAAAACTCACTGCATGATGTCTTAAAGGGACCACAACATTTACAGCCTAGAGACTAGATTTTACTCCAGGGTTTCCCAGGACAAACTGGGACCCCTTCAAGCTTTTAAATAATTCTGGCTGCATCCGCCTCTACAGCTGAATTTCTGGGAATCCCGTCCTAGAGTCATCTCTCTGGACTCAAACCTACAGACCCTCCAGAACCTGCTTCCACCGACAGCGAACTCCCTGAAAAGTCCAGCCCGTCACGGATACCAGGCTCTGATAATATGCTGTGGAATATACGGCTCCTTATCACGCTTTGCCTCCACTTCTTGTGTCGCTCTATGAATGCCACCACGGACCAGCCTACCTGCCAGGCTGGTCAGTCCTTTGCCCACACTGGGAACCCTAATAAGGATAACCTCACTTTCCAGCCCCACTATGGGCACTCCATGGCATCTCTATCTGCCTACTGTCCAAGAGACTCTCCACCCTCTCAAAACTGTGAACTCTTTTCCCCTGTGTGACCTTAGGTTTCTTGGCTAACGCTCTCATTTTCAAACCCCTCATTCTCTCCTGTCTAGCAACATTCATATGGAACCAAATTCAGGCCCTAACTCTTTCTCTCCAATGAGAGAAGAGTCCCACCCTGCCTCCAATCTA